TCTAAACTGAGGGTTTAACAAATTTTTTGTTTGAGTACTAGAGTATCTAATAGAAGTATTATCCATCCATTTGGTACTCCCAGTCAAGTTGCGAATGATGAGGGAGATGAAGTTTGAGAAGACAAATGAATAATGATGCGACGTGGTCTAGAACGTTTTCACTAAGTTTTCGGTAAATTATCATAGGAGAAGTATGCAACAGTAGATGGAATTTAATTTGATATAGTGAGATCTATATCTTACACTCGATTGCGTCATGAACTTTGTAATTTCTTGTGCAAAAGTTTAATCCATGTAGTTCATCCATCAAACTACATAGAAAAGTCGTGCAAATAAGTGATACTGACTTTAAATGAGTGATGGGGATTTCAAACCCGAAAATGATGTTCTAATGGCTAGATTAATGAACAATGAATAGCTCAATGAATTAATGAGACATTTTGTGAAGGTGAAAGTAGAGTGATGATAACTAACATCATTCAGAAGATTCATCATTGGGAAGCTACCAACAATAATTTTGCAGAAATTGAACTTTCTTGGCAGAACATGAACTTTATTAGTTGTTTAGTGTTGTTTGATTTAAAGATGTTACAATATTAAAGTTATGCCAAGATCGTGGTCAACCAACAAATGTGTTATATGGGAAAACCCTCCTAATAAGCTCCACACATTTGACATCATCGAATTACAATATATGCTTTCTAAAAGCTACAATATACTAGATCAATAATCTATTACAACTTATCAACCAAGGCAGAAAAGGTTGAGCAATGCATCATCAACACTTCAGGTACTCTTGGTCAAGTTGCGAATGATGACAAAGATGAAGTTAGAGAAGACAAACGGATAATGAAATGATGCGGTCCAGAAAATTTTCATGAAGTTTTTGGAAAATTATTAGAAGAGAAGAGGGCAACAGTAGATGATATTTGGTTTGATATAATGGGATCTATATCTTGAACTAGACTGTGTTATGAACATTGTAAGTTTATTGTGCAAAGGTTTGATTCATGCAATTCACCCATCGAACTATACGGAAAAGTCATACAAATAAATGATGTTGAATTTAAACAAGTGATGAGATTTTGAACATTGAAATGGATGTGCATGTGGTTGAATCGAAGCTCAATTGAGAGCTCAAGAAATTAAAATTATATATTTTTTAATTTGGCCGGTCCAGTTAGGCCCGATTCAATTTGTTGGGGTATAGAACTGAAACAGAAACTAGTTAGAATCGATTCGGTTCAATTTTTTTGAATTGGTTTTGACTTTTTAGTCAACACGATTTTTTTCTTTTTTTTCAGTCTGAGTTGGTCGGTTGATCGGTTCTTCGGTTTCGATGCCCACCCCTACTTCATATCAATATTTACATATCGATTAATATATACTCATTTTTTGTCTTTTCCCTTATTTTGCATGTATCCAAAGTTATGATATAATAGGGAAGAAAACTGACACGATCATGCTTCAAAAGCTCTGGAGAAAGATGTATCAGATTATGATGATGCCCCGCTTATCTCTCTCAAAACCAAGATCACATTAGGGAATGTGGGAATCATTGCCCCAAAAAAGGAGTATGCATTATTTAACCCAAATTTCCTTTATTGAACTCAAATTTAGAACATATCAATACTTTTCCCTTTTTTTTTTCTTTTTTTTTGTTGAATTTTTCATGTAAAATTTGACTGTTTGGTTATCTGTGTTTGTGCACACTGAGTTTACAACATCATTTTTTGATTTCTCTAGCAAGCACTTACGCTCATAACCGTTTTTAACAAAATCGCTTTTTTTTTAAAAAAAAACAAGTTCTTCTCCGAAAAACGCTTCTATGGCCCAAAAGCACTTCTACACTTTTTTGTCAAACATTGTCATAAGCAATTTTAGAAAAGAAGGTAGTTATGTAGTCCAGATTGTGCATTTGTCTTTTAACCTGGATGTGCATTTGTCTATTACTCCATTGGTTTTTTTTCCCCAATTGTAAACTTTTCTGTTCGAAGATTTACTATAATGATACGTGGTTTAACCTCAAATTCGAAAAGCTTTCCCTTCTGTTCATTTGTTGCCTCATATAGTTGTTTTTTTCTTATTTCAATTATGAAATAAATTTGATAGCATTTCTATTCTATGCACTTTTTTCCCATATGGTTGTTTATAGATTGTTATTGCTTCTATAACTTACTTATCTATTCTTAATTCTGTAACAAATTTGCTCATTAGGTCATTAGGTTATCTTATTTCCGTTTATAGATCATTATGTGTTTATAGATTTTTTTGTTTTTGTTTTGGTCAAATGTACTTTCCATTAAACAACATACAGTACATCAAGGTGAAACATGGCTACCAACGACCAGACATAGCAAACAAAAAGCAAAGCACTTATTAACGGCAAGATAGGCATGAAATTGTAGTAAGACAAAAGTTTGGCAACGAAATTGACAGAAAAAAAATCTTTAGGGTGTAGTAAAGTGAAATGGTTGAATTTTAAATATTAAAATAACTTGAGTTATGCACAGATACACCCTTGAAATATTTGCTGTCCTAAAAAATATTTCTCTAAATAACAAAATTAAACATAAAATATTAAATTGTACATACAGTCTTGGATATTATATTACTGAAATTTATGAAATCCAGGAATTTTGTGAGGACATAAAAAAAAACATTGGAGTGTCAGTAAAAAATTTCCTTGAAGGGGTCCAAAATTGAAATCTTATTGAAAAAAACACCTAACCAAAATGTTCATTAAAAAAAAAGAAAGAAATTTGACGGTATAGGTACCGTTAGAATAACCAAAAACCCAAAGTACAATCAAACCCCAGAACCCCGAACGGCAGCAGGAGTTTGAGAGCTTGGCAAGCAAAATCCAGACAAAGGAACAATGAAAAAGAATATCTCTCTGATTCTGATGGGTGTTGGAGGCGTTGGGCGTCAGCTCCTTCAACACATTGTCTCCTGTCGATCTCTTCACGCCAAACAGGTACATCCATTTCCTCCCACTCATTCTTTGAGTTGCTTTTGTTCTTGGGCTTTCGCTATTTCAATTGGTTTTATTTTCTCATAGTTTGTGTGAAGTTGGGGTCTTATTGATTGGGATAATCTTCATTTGGGTCACAGGGAATTCACTTGAGAGTTGTGGGAGTATCTGATAGTAAATCCTTAGTTGTTGCATCGGACGCATTTACTATGGAGTTGGGTGATACATTTTTAATGGAAGTTTGCCGGGTCAAGTCGGATGGTGCTTCTTTGTCCACAATTAGTGGTTATGGTAATTTCACCTGGGCTTTCAGATGAATGATAGCATTTTATTTCTTTAGAATTGTGCTTCTTATGCTTATTTTCTGTTTTACAAAGGTGAATCCAAGGTATTCACCAATTCAGAATCAACCAAAAAGATTATAGATGTTGCTGCATTCTTGGGCAAATCGACAGGTTAGCGGCGCGCATGAGCTTTCACTTTTTTTTTTTTTCAGCAGATTGTTACTAGCACATTCCTAAAACTGTATGATCATGCCTTTAGTCTCAGTTGTTTGACCTTTTTCTTTATTATTTCCTTTGCAAAGGCTTGGCTCTTGTAGATTGCTCTGCCAGTTCTGAGACTATTCCCGTGCTAACCCAAGTAGTTGATTTGGATTGTTGCATTGTCATGGCAAATAAGAAACCTCTGACTTCGACAATGGTAGTAAACTTTTTCAGGAATTTTAATGTTCTATAGTTTGCAGCATTACTTACCAACTTTACCTTAAAAGAAATCTATAGAAACGTTCATTCTAACTATTGTGTGAGGTAAAAGGACTTCCTTCTGCTGTTTTGTCATTCATTTTACTTGCATACAATTAATTTCTAGTTGCTTGTTTGCCCCACTGCCCCAGTGACGCATTAAGTATTTCTCACCTACAGGAGGATTATGACAAATTAATTTCATACCCAAGGCGTATTCGCCACGAGTCAACTGTGAGTTCATTTCTTCTTGATGTAGTTATTGATATGTGTGCTGATCAAGATGTGGAAAGTATTGTGTATAAAGATGAAATGCTTATAGTGTAATGGTCATATATGGCTTTGTGTTGTTGAAACTTAATCCCTGAACCTAGTATTTGGTGTTACTCCAGTTTGGAAGCATTTCAACCTCAGAATTTTTGTTTTACTCATGACGT